TTACCATGGAAATGGTACTTTAAAATCTTTTGGCGGTCTCCTCCCCCTTAGTGGGCGGTGTCAAGTGTCATATTACAAAATGCATTACGGTATTTTACAATCAAAACTTTTTATAATCTTGACAAAAAACATATAATTGGAAAGGTCTGAGTCTCAGGATTCCATATTTCGAGATATTGAGATAGAAGTAATATTGACAGAGAAATCTAGACATTTGTGACAGAAAAATGCATACAAAAATTCTACAGAGTTTGGATGGCACCCGGTGGCTTTTTGTGGTATAACACCCTAAATAAAATCTCACAGGAACCTCGACCTGTTTTCAGCATCTGCGTATCAATATATGAGGACATGAACACATGCACTTCATCTTCAGAGCTGCTTCACCAGCTTTATGCAGTTTCATTTGAGGAAAAAGTACCGTCAAATACACGCTGAAACTAAAACTGAAAGACCTTCGCGACAAACCGTCAAAATAAAAGTCCAGTTTAACTTGAAATTATGACGGAATACATCACTACTGTATACTACAATGCAATTCTCAAAGTAATAATAATAATAATATTATTTTTAAGGAATATCATACAACCGAGTTATTTTTTTTTTATTATTAATTTATACAGTTCTGTTGTGTGGCATCATGTCTGATAAAATAAAATAAAAAATAAAAATGCAATGTTTTGTTGTAAATTGATTTTCAATTTGATTACATTTTAAAAGATTGATTAAATTGTTAAAGTTTTATTAATTCGTTTCACTAGACACCATTTTTTGTGATAAATTTGTATGAATCATAAAACACGGAATCCATAAGAAATCAAATGGAAAACACAGAATTGAGGGAAAAATGAAATGCATTTTTGCATAAAATGCAAGATATTAGAGAAATATATATATGTATATGTATTGGAGTATATCAAACAAGTAGCCCTTGAGACTATTTTATCCCTTCAGGGACCCCTCACTCACAAAAAGGTTGGAGACCCCTGATAGAAGAACCATTTTTGGATCCTCAAAGAACCTTTCAGTGATCCGAACCAATTTTTCTTTGTTTGAAGAACATAAAAAAATAAAAAAATAAATAAAAAATAAATTTTGTTCAATGTAAAGATTCAATGGATGTTAAAGGTTTTTCATGAAACCATCAATGCCAAGAGTGAAACAAAAAATTTAACATTTAAATGAATGCTTTTTAAAATAAGAACAATCAAAATAAAACACACAACAAAAAAAAATATGCAGATGTGTTGTTAAATTATTGAAATATTAACTTAAAATCTCAGGGGGCTTTAAGAAAATGTTTTAGTTCAAAGCGGTTCGGCTGGCAAAAAAACTGTGAATCCCTGCTTTAGAGATAAAAGAGCTTATTTTATACAGCCCAGCATTTTTTATGGCATCTTTATGTATAGATTTAGTTTAGCGTCACAATTTTGGAAGAATAAGATTTGTTCATGTGTTTGAAAGAATCTTTTATGCTCACCCAAGGCTGAATTTATTTGATTAAAAATACAGTAAAAATTGTGAAATATTACTACAGTTTAAACAGCTGTTTTCTATTTTAATATACTTTAAAATGTAATGTATTTCTGTGATGCGCAGCTGTATTTTCAGCATCATTACTCCAGTCTTCAGTGTCACATGATCTTCAGAAATCAGTATAATTTGCTGATTTGTTATCAATGTTAGAAACAGTCGTGCTGACGAATATTTTTGTGAGTCAGTAATACTTTGAAAGAAATTAATACTTTTATTCATCAGGGACACATTAAATTGTTCAAAAGTGACAGTAAAGACATTTATAATGTTACACAAGATTTAAAATAAATGCTGTTCTTTTGAACTTTCTGTTCAATCCTGAAAAATAAAATGTGTATCTCAGTCAGCCTTGGTGAGCATTAAAGACCTTTTTTTTTCAAGCTTGTGGACGTGTATATCATTCATTATATCGACCGTAATTTCTGGAAGAGTTTCATGCAAGCAATTTAAGTCTGTGATCTGACATAGACTAACAGCAACATACAGCAGACTAAACAAACAGCTGTGTGACGGCCTTCGTTTGTTTTGCGTTGCGCAGCTGTGTCAGAAAGCGGGCGAGATCTCTCTGCTGAAGCAGCAGCTGCGGGAGAGTCAGAACGAGGTTACGCAGCGCGCCGGAGAGATGGTGGCCCTCAGGGGCCAGCTGAAGGAGCTCAAGGGCCAGATGAAGGAGCGCGAGGAGACCATGATCGGCCTGAAGGACTCGTACACCAACAAGAGCCGCGAGCTGGAGAGATGTGAAGGAGAACTGAAGAGAACGCTGACAGAGGTGCGCAACATAAACACACACACACTCATATCCAATGCATCACACTTACTATGCCTGTGATATTTGTGTCCCTGCAGCACAAAAGCAGTCTTAAGTCGCTGGGGTATATTTGTAGTAGGCTTGCCGCGATAGACGGTGCTGACGGTTAAGCCGCAACACCGGTTACGTCACTTGCCCACCGCGGCACCGACCCCCACCGTCGTTTTGATTTTTTATAGTAATAAAAATAAAATTTGTACTTATACTCAGCACATGCTGTGAGCGCTGGTTTGTTCTCTCCGCAGGTGTCGATGTTGCGTGACAAGCTGGTGGTGTTCGAGGCCGAGGTTCTGGGTCTCAAGCGGGCTCTGAGCGAGCTGAGCTGCAGGAGCGATCACGCCGTGTGTCTGAGGGACATCAGCGGCATCAGCGGCAGCTTACCGTGGGCCGGCTTGCACTCGCCCCGCTCGCCCGAAGCCCTGCCCATCGACAGCTTCCTCAGCCTGCAGAGCGACGAGGCCAAAGCGCAGCGGCAGGAGGCGGGAGAGCTGCGGCGGCAGCTGGAGAGACTGCAGGGCGAGCTGCACCTGGAGCGGCAGCAGAGAGAGAGGCAGACGCTCACCTTCGCTCAGGAGCGACACACCTGGCAGGACGAGAAAGAGCGCGTGCTGAAGTACCAGGCGCAGCTGCAGCTCAGCTACGTGGAGACGCTGCAGAGGAACCAGGCGCTGGAGGAACGGGTCGGCCAGCTCGGAGCCAAACTGGGCATCTCGCCCGGATCGCCCGTCAGCCTCTCCATCCCCGTCCCTGTGACCATCACTCTGTCCCCAGCCGTGGACGATCCCAAACATCAGCTGGCGCCTCCGTGGCCGGGACCGTCTCGCTTGGAGCGGATCGAGTCCACGGAGATTTAGACGCGAGACAATCGACTTGAGACTAAAGCCCCATTCACACCAAAAATGATAACTATAAAGATTGCATTACATTTAGTCATTTAGCAGACGCTTTTATCCAAATGTGACACTGGACCACAAAACCAGTCTTAAGTCGCAATGATGATGCATAAATCTCAATTTCGAAAAATTGACTCTTATGACTGGTTTTGTGGTCCAGGGTCACAAATGAGGACAAACGGAAGCAATCAAAATCAACAAAAGAGCAAATGATACACAAGTGCTATAACGAGTCTCAGTTAACTTAACGCAGTACACGTAGCAAGGGTTTTTAAAAATAATATAATAAATAAAAAGAAAACAGATAGAATACAAAAAGATTAGAAAGCAAGCGTTAGTTTTTTTTTTTTCAAGCAGCAAATGAATAGAGTGCAAGTCTAAAAGGGACTTGTATTTATTTTATTTTTTTTAAAGAATAGAATTAGAATAGAGAGTGCTAGAGTTAGAGGGTCAAATTAAGATGGAAGAGATGTGTTTTTAGCCGATTCTTGAAGATGGTAAGATAACCAGCGGACGATATCGCACGCGCGTCTGCCGCTTTAAATTCTCGAGCTCGGTTCAGCAGGATGGATTCTGATTGGCTGTCAAAGTTTTTATCGTTCATCAGCTAGAAAAAAATCCTTTTGAAAGTGATTCCAACGATATCGTTTCTCTGTGCCTTTATCGTTATAGTTGTGGTGTGCACTCTGCTATTCTTTAATATTGAGAACGATTTTTACTATATCTTTATCGTTATCTTTATCGTTATCGTGCTTGGTGTGAACGGGCCTTAAGAGCTGAACGCACTAAAGAGGGCTGTGCTACAACAAATGCAGTTATGAATCACATTTCTCCAGCTTTTAAACCTTCTATTGACATCTCTCTTTTGGTCATAAGTGATATGGAGGGAAATGTTTCATTAGTCTGTGTGGGCCAAAAGTTTGGTATAAGTAAGATTTGTTAATGTTTTGAAAGAGTCTCTTCTGCTGACCAAGGCTGCATTTGTACAGTAAAAATAGTAAATATTATTACAATTTAAAACAGCTGCTTTCTATGTGAATATGTGTTAAACTGTAATGTATTTCTGTGATGCGCAGCTGTATTTTCAGCATCATTACTCCAGTCTTCAGTGTCACATGATCTTCAGAAATCATTCTAATTTGCTGCTCGAGAAACATTTCTGATTATTATCAATGTTGAAAACAGTTGTGCTGCTCAATATTTTTGTGGAAACCGTGATGCATTTTATTTTTCAGGATTCACAGATGAACAGAAAGTTCAAAAGAACAGCGTTTATTAGAAATAGCAATTTTTAGTAACATAACATTATAAATGTCTTTACTGTCACTTTGCATCAGTTTAATGCATCCTTAATAAATAAGATGAATTTTTATTTTTTTCTTAATTTTACTGCAAACTTTGTTTCCACAAAAATATTGTGCGGCACAGCTGTTTTCAGCATTGATAATAATCAGAAATGTTTCTTGAGCAGCATATTATTATGATTTCTGAAGATCATGTGACGCTGAAGACTGGAGTAATGATGCTGAAAATACAGCTGCGCATCACAGAAATAAATTACAGTTTAACAGAGATTCACATAGAAAACAGCTGATTGAAATTGTAAAAATATTTCACTATTTTTACTGTACATGTTATCAAATAAATGCAGCATTAGTGAGCAGAAGAGACTGCGGTGACTAAACGTGAACACCAGGGGTCACTAGACGAGAAACAGAGGGCTCCTATCTACAGGTAGAATTACTTGGGCTGTTTTTGTCGGAGTTTTTTAAATTTGGCGGAAATTGAACCCCAAACCGGACTTGCTTTCCTGATTCTACAGCGATGCTTCTGGAAGCTTCTGAGAGATGCTGCTATGCTCTGATGTGACGTCACGCTGTGTTGTGGGTAGACAGGCAGGCTGTGAATATGACGAAAAGATGAGAATTATTGTTATTTCATCGTTCCGATTATTGTGAATAAAGCCGATATTTTAGCTTCGTTTTTCTGTAACAGGACATGTAACACCGTTCAAATGCATCAACAATTTCCAAAACCATATTCCTTTCGATGTAATTATTTGATTTGATGATGTAATTGATTTATTTAGAGATCCAATGCTATGTTTTTATACTTCTATTGTTTGCATTTATGCTACTGTAATGACTTGCGTAAAAGCATATCCGATCAAAAACACATTAAATGATAAAGACTTTGATTTTGGCATTGGACAAGCTCTGATTCACCATCCGTGCATTTTAAAATCATTACGATGTCGAAATTCGGAAATGAATGGCTCTTTTGAGCTGGTTTTTGCTAGTGAATCGAGTTTGAATCAATCGGAGCTGTTCGAGCGTAAATGATTCACTCAATTGAATCGGTTCGTCTGTTGCTCCGTTTTCGAGTCTTCAGTCATGTTTACACGACACTTGTCAGCACTATTACCGGCTTAGCTCGATAGTTTCATCACATTTACTGAAATAAGCCAAAAAAGCATGATGTTTACTAATAAAATAGTAACAAAGATAACATCCAACACAAATCTAGATCATATTCAGGCGAGGAAACCGGTTTACTGCTAACTAGTGAATCACATACACATAGGCTATATTTAAATGTTTGATTAAAATTATTTCTAGGGACAATTTAGTAGTCGCTGGATATTGGTAGAGACATAGTGTCCCTACTAAATTCTACACCCTTATTAATCTCCGTAAAAACAACAACATGTAGGCTAAGTAACAGCAGAGAAACCTTCAGAAAGCATTCTAGTATGCTGATTTGGTGCATATTAAAATATGCATATTTTTGTGGAATCTGTGATACACTACCATTCAAAATTTTAGAGTACTTTTTAAAAATATATATACATTTATTCATCAAGGATGCATTAAACTGATCAAAAGTGACAGTAAGATTGAGTCAATCATTTAAAATTAAATTAAGTCTTTTAAAATAAATAAGACATTTTATGCAAACCGAGATTAATCAGCTCATGTACGGAAATGACGCAAATATTCAAATTCAAACAGTGTGTAAAAAAAAAAGTAAACCAAGGCACAACAATCTTACACTCCGAATATTAGTTATTAGTTCAAGTAAAGACGTCTTTTAATAACAGATTTTATAACAGACTCCGAAATAAAAACCTGCCGCAAATGTATAAAAAATAATATTAGAGTCAAAGCAAATAAAACTGATACATAGTGGTTTCCCGCCAGCAGGTGGCAGCAGTGAGCCGCACGCGCATTTGATCCCGGAAGCAGCGGTGACGTCAGCGGCGCGACTGTTCCTGCTCCTGCGGTGAGTTTTGTTTTGGTCAGCGCGTGATGTCGAAATGTTATTTGCTTTATTTACGCATTTTTTCTCGAGCTAAGAAACCCATTCTGTCTGTATGATCGCTCGGCGTGTTTGGTGTCAGTTTGGTCAGTAACAAACTCACAACTGTAGGCTATTTTTTGCACATCTGCACTGGAAATGCTATCGTGTTTTTTTGCAATGCTATATCGTAAATTATGTGGTATATCGATTTGTTAATCAGTTGTGTGTGTG